AACTAATGTTCGACCACTTAGATCCGTAATGTACTCTGATTTTGTTATATGTTTGAATTGGACCAATTTACTTATTGATTGGAGATTATGACGTGCTGATATGATCAGATAAGTCTTTTCTCTTCGAATATTATGTGCAGTAGCTGTATCGAAAAGATCTTGAAAGTTTCTATCACTTTGGATATCATGACCATACTGGAGTTTTTTCCACAACAACCTGAGGTGCTGTCATACGTGCTTTCTTTTTAATGGACCATTCTGCCTCTTTAAGCCTAACCACTGGCCGAAAACAACCCACAATCGATTATTAGTGATATTAGGTGATGATCCCTCAATGCCGACATCGGTCTCTCTAATAATGTCAGTATAGACTAGAGAGAGAAAATTTGACGAAATTTCAGGCAACTCAAGAGAGTTACTGTCGGAGGATTTTGCTTCTCTAATTAGAGTTTCAACTAGCAATTCTCTGGCCGATATGTCATACCGAGTCTTATTTTTTTTGGACGATACCCGATCTGAAGAACAGAGAAGAACACTTGTCCACTCTCTCTCCAAATAATAAATACTATCATTAGTGGATATTTTTCAGGTGGTGGATTGGATTCGGTGCCGAGATGGATCGAAGATGATATCATCGATTACCAAAGGAATGTCAACATCCAGCTCGTGAAGCATCTCGGTTTGTTTCTGATCATGCCTAAGTTTTTTATTTTTACGTGTACGGGCCTGTCTCGAGAATTTGGTTTTAGTGGGTTCATCCTGTGATGCAATGACCTCTCCCTTTCATTTATTATTTGATATTTGCATTGTAATTGTTGTCTTAGGCAAGAAAATATTAGGTAAATATTGATGGGTTGAAAAGTAAATAAATTAGATTCTTTATCGAAAGAAACCCTTTTATTAGGAAATTTATACAACAAACTAATAATATGTTTGTTATATTCAGTATTGAAGTCAATTGCGTGTCGCCACAATAATTTAACACCATAAAACAATCACACGTCGCTTTGTTTTACGTCATAATTATTTAACACGATAATTTCTACGTTGGTATATCTATATTAATCCTAATATAGTAATACGGAAGCTTTATTTGGTTTAGTAAAAAAAATTATCTCATATTATAATACCACGCTGCTGAAAAAAGTCCAAACCACTGAAAAAGGCCTTTAAGTCCATTTTACAAATTTAGAATAACCGTTATTTATTAATTCCTAGCTATTACCGGTATAACTAACATGTTGATCAAACATCTAGCATCACCAAAGGGTATCCGTGCTGGAAAAAATAAAGCACGTATGTATTATGTTACATTGTATAATGCAAGTTAACGGACCCGTGGGACCGCTTTTATTTTGGTCTAGGTCGAAGCTAAAAATAGCGATTGTTTTTTTCTCAAGTATTGTGAGAAGGCAGGTTCGAATGATAAAACCTTGACCGGCTTTAATAATCAATGGCCTGCATTAAATTTTATGTGGTGTTACCTTAATGCATAATTGCTTTCCCAACGTCGATTTTTTTATTAACGTTAACCATTTTACGAATAACTAGACCCTTTTCTTATTATACGTATATGATCCCGCGATAAGAATGGGATTTAAAAAGGCTATAAGGGTAAAGAGTACAACGTTCTTAATCAGTAGTTTTACCGAAATTTATATGTTACAAGGACTTCGAATCTCCGCCATCTCCGAGATCTAGCCTACTCTGAGCGATCGGCAAAATCTAAGAGGTCAAATTTCAACTAAAAAAAATGGCCAAATAGATTCAGCATTTGGGACTTGTGACCGAATAGACTTGCTTTACATGGTGGGATCTAGTTTGTGTTAGGGTAACGTAATTACTAATCATGTAGCTTTTTTTTTCTGGTAGGTTGTTAGATCTGACGAATGGACAGTATAAAAAGAAGCAAGTTTCCATCGTAAGATAAGTTAGCAATAACGTTTTTTTTT